GGGCTCGCCCCGTCCATCCGCTGCGGCATCAGCCACCGCACGTTGCCCCCCGGCACCCCCTCCCTTTCCGGGGACCGCCCCCCGGTGCGCAGCTCCATGCAAGGCCAGCCAGGCTGCCCAGGGACGGTCCTGGAGGTTGCAGGGAGGCAAAATTTCTATGAGTAATTTTTTTAGTATTTAGTCCTATACCTTTTTTTTTTTTGTGTGTGTGTGTGTGTCTGACCGAAGTCCTTCAAGGCTATGAAAATTAATCAGCTGTGTACATACTTGGAGCCAGTCGGTACCGAGCCTGCTGGCTTCCAAAAGTTACCCTGGTGTTACTACTGGCGCAGCTGGGTGGGAGATAGCAACCTCAGTGTCTGCTGAGATAAGGGTTTGTCAGGCTGGGCTGGTTTTTCAGAATAATTTAACAATTGTTTGGAAATACCTTTGCAAATTGTACACTCAATGGCTACTTACTCTAGGAATTTTAAAGTCTTCTGAATAAGTTTGCACTGTGACTTCCACAGCGTAGGATTTGCTCTGCACTGGTACCCGAGTGTACTTCTGGTTGACCCAGCAGTAATTGGTTTCTGGTATGCAAAGTTGAAGAAAATGGGCTGTAATTCTGCACTCTGAAGTTTGTTGCTGGCTACAAAACCAGCGATGCCTTGACTTTGCTAGTGCCAATGGGAAGGGTCAGAAAACAGTATAAAATGTACAACAGATTCTGTAATGGGAAGGGGGAACGGGTTGTCTTCAAGCTTGCAAATTAAAAGCTCCTCGCTGAGTTGAGAGAATTAGCTCAGGAGGTCCATTTTTCATGAAAGTTCCCAATACCAGTTGCGAAGGCAACGTGCCCGAATGGGATGACCTGCCTGTATAAGCCTCTTCACCACTGGGATGATGCCGCTATGTGGCATTCACAGCAGCAGTTGGAACCAAATCACCAATGTGAGAGGTGGGAAATACATTCCAGACCACCAACATCTCTCTCTCTGCTGCACTGCACCATTCCCTGCCAATTCTGACTGCTCTGCCTTCCGAAATGAAGCGCCTCAGCAGTACACACTCCTGTAACACTCCATTGCATGAGGCTGTATATTCCATTGCTGGGCTGAGAGCATGATACAGGGAATGGGATGGAGACAAGCCCAAATTCAACTCACAGCAATAATCCATACCTGCAGTCCTGAGGAGAAAGCTGCTCCTGTTCGGAAGGGAACAGAGCAACGGAATCTGTAAAAATGGAGGACTTTGGGGATGCAGTATCATACAAAGGGGACTCAGGTGGAACACCTCTGACCAGTTCTGCTGGAGTATTCCTCAGTATATACACTTGTATGTATTTTTAGGCTAAGGAACAAAGAACCAAAGGAATCGAGTGACTTGCCACAATAGCTACTCCCCACACCCAAGTCACTTCTCTGTGTGCCATTTTGACACATTTAGTACTTTTTTCTTGTATTTCCAGTCATCTAAAGAGTCTTTTAATGAAGAACAAACATACGAAGTTAATAAACATAAGTAAAACAAGACTGAAGCCTTTGTTCTCTCAGCTCAGGATTTTTTTTTGTGTTGAAAATGAAAAACATCTTTTTGATCAGAGGTTTAGAGGTTCAGAATACTACTCATGACAGTGAACACAAAGGTCACATACATAACACACATTTCACACGCTGGAATCCCATTCCTACACTTGTACAGATGGCTTTCATTTTCTGCAAGGTATCTGATACATTGCAAATTTTTAATGATGCCATCAGCGTTGATTTGTTGTGCTGAATGCCCTGAGAATACCATACAGCACAGTGACACGGAACTGGAGAACAGAAAGGGGGAGAGACTTAGATCAATCCCATCCCTGCCTTAAAATGAAGAAGAGGAATTTTTGTAGGTGAGATGAGATTCCCAAATCCCTTTTCCCAACTAACTTACTTTCACCTTACAAATAAATCTTCCAGTGGTGTGGGCAAGAAATATTTGAAGAATCTATGGGAGAGATTTCTGTGGACCAGTCAGCTGGTTTTAATCCGGGATGACCCCCCCCTGCTCCACTCCCCCACTCTTTCATTGTGAGCAGCATCCCCCAGTTGTGCAGGGGAAGAGAAGGGCCCCATGTCCCACATTTTTAGTAAAAATAGACAGCAGCTATTTTCTTTAGTCAGGCAAAGGGAAACCACAGCACTGGGTTCTTGGTCCTTCTGGTTTCTGGGCTGTGCCTTTTGAAATTGAAAGTTTCAGGCCCTTTCATGGTCTTTCTCCTGTTTCCCAGTGTCTGCACAGTGGTTCTGACACAGCCCCTTCGGCTGGAGCTGGGCTCAGTGGCAACCGTGGGCCATCGGACACGGAGGGGACAAATGAAGCCTGTTGCATAAGAAAGTGTTCCTTCCAGATGATGACTTGGCAAAACTGATGCCTCTGCAAGCCACATTATCAGGCTAGAAAGGCAAATTACAGACTGCGGGCGTCTTAAAAAGCCTATTGTGTGGGTGTGCGGAGGGAAAAGAGAAAATTCCAGGAAAACCAAATTTTGGTCACTGCTGTCCATAGATAGTCAGCTTCCTGGCTTTGGCAAGAGAGAGCACAGCAATATTAAAAAAAGGAAATTCCTTCAGAGTAAAAATTAAAAAACCTGATGGCCTCTGGACTTCCAGGATCTCGAACCAGCAATGTTATTCTTTGCTGACTCATAAAAGGGGCTCATTTTTTTGGTATG